CCACTGTATTAAAGATGAACCCCTTTCATAAAACCAAAGAAAATATAAAGCAAAAAATGTGGGAGGCACCATCAGCTACAGCCACCACTAGCAATCTTCTTGGCATTTAGAGGGCCACCGACACCCTATACTATAACGAGCCAACAACATTGGTAAAGTAATTAAAAATCTTGCCAAGTTGTATCATACATAATGGAGCTCACAACTATACCAAAAATAATAACAAATGAATTCGAGATAGTGGTAACCAAAAATAATAAAGTAATACTGTAATAAAATGGTGGAAGGCTGCATGTAGATGTGTCGAGTGGTGCCGACCATGGCTTTGGTTCCCAGCATTATTCAGAAATCCGATTTCTATACAGTACCTAATCTTTGACAAACATTAATTGCCTGTTTAACTTACTTTCTATGATCTATGCATGAGAAGCCCATACTGTAGTATTGGCTGAGGTGAAGCCACTGTCAGCACTGAAATAGGATGCCTCCACCTCCCTTCTTCATATTTTATTTATTTATTAACACATCGGCCATTTCCCACCAAAGTAGGGTGGCCCGAAAAAGAAAAACTTTCACCATCATTCACTCCATCACTGTCTTGCCAGAGACACGCTTATACTACAGTTATGAAACTGCAACATTAACACCCATCCTTCAGAATGCAGACACTGCACTTCCCACCTCCAGGACTCAAGTTCAGCCTGCTGGTTTCTCTGAATCCCTTCATAAACATTACCCTGCTCACACTCCAACATGTCAAGTCCTAAAAACCATTTGTCTCCATTTGCTCCTATCTAACATGCTCATGCATGCTTGCTGGAAGTCCAAGCCCCTCACACACAAAACATCCTTTACCCCCTCCCTCCAACCTTTCCTAGGCTGACCTCTGCCCCACCTTCCCTCCACTAGATTTATGCACTCTTGAAGTCATTCTATTTTGTTCCATCCTCTCTACATATGCACCCCTCCTCAGCACTCTATATAATAGTTTTGGTAATCCCACACCTCCTCCTAATTTCCAAATTATGAATTTTCTGCATTATATTCTCACCCCACACTGCCCTCAAACACGACATCTCCACTGCCTCCAGTGTTCTTGTTGCAACATTCACCACCCATGCTTCACATCCATACAAGAGCATTGGCATAACTATACAGCGGACCCTCGCCTAACGAACGCATCGCATAATGTTAAATCCGCCTATCGATACATTTTAACGCAAAAATTTTGCCTCGTCTAGCGCTAAAAAACTCGCTCAACGCGATTCATTCGAGACGCGTCCACGTGCGACCTGAGCCCGCCTCGCTTGTTCCGTGGGTGCCAGTGTTTACAAGCCAGCCACCACGGTCGCTTCCAAGCATACAATTGGAACATTTCATATTATCACAGCCTTTTTAGTGATTGCACCTGCAAAATAAGTCACCCTGGGCCCCAAGAAAGCTTCTAGTGCCAACCCTACAGCAAAAAGGGTGAGAATTACTATGGATATGAAGAAAGAGATCATTGCTAAGTATGAAAGTGTTGTGCGTGTCTCCGAGCTGGCCAGGTTGTACACAAAACCCCAATCAACCATCGCTACTATTGTGGCCAAGAAAACAGCAATCAAGGAAGCTGTTCTTGCCAAAGGTGCAACTTTGTTTTCGAAACAGAGATCGCAAGTGATAGAAGATGTTGAGAGACTGTTATTGGTGTGGATAAACGAAAAACAGATAGCAGGAGATAGCATCTCTCAAGCAATCATGTGTGAAAAGGCTAGGAAGTTGCATGAGGGTTTAATTAGAAAAATGCCTGCAACTAGTGATGTGAGAATTTAAGGCCAGCAAAGATTGGTTTGAGAGATTTAAGAATTGTAGTGGCATACATAGTGTGATAAGGCATGGTGAGGCTGCCAGTTCGGACCACGAAGCGGCTGAAAAATATGTGCAGGAATTCAAGGAGTACATAGCCAGTGAAGGACTGAAACCTGAACAAGTGTTTAATTGTGACGAAACAGGCCTGTTTTGGAAGAAAATGCCAAGCAGGACCTACATTACTCAGGAGGAAAAGGCACTCCCAGGACATAAGCCTATGAAAGACAGGTTTACTCTGTTGATGTGTGCTAATGCTAGTGGTGATTGCAAAGTGAAGCTTTTATTGGCATATCACTCAAACTCCCAGTGTTCAGGAAAAACAATGTCCTCAAGGCTAATTTGTGTGCGCTGTGGAGGGCAAACAGAAAGCATGGGTCACTAGGGACTTTTTCTATGACTGGTTACACCATGCATTTGCCCCCACTGTGAAAAATTACCTAATTGAAAAGAAATTAGACCTTAAGTGCCTCCTGGTCATCCTTCAGATGTGGCAGAGCGACTTTCTGCGGAAATGAGCTTCATTAAGGTCAAGTTTTTGCCTCCTAATACCACTCCTCTCCTGCAGCCCATGGACCAACAGGTCATTTCCAACTTCAAGAAACTGTACACAAAAGCTATGTTTGAAAGGTGCTTTGTAGTGACCTCAGAAACTCAATTGACTAAGTGTGTTTTGGAGAGATCACTTTAACATCCTCAATTGTGTAAACATTATAGGCAAGGCTTGGGAGGAAGTGACTAAGAGGACCTTGAACTCTGCTTGGAAGAAACTGTGGCCAGAATGTGCAGACAAAAGGAATTTTGAAGGGTTTGAGGCTAACCCTGGGAATCCTATGCCAGTTGAGGAATCCACTGTGGCATTGGGGAAGTCCTTGGGGTTGGAGGTTAGTGGGGAGGATGTGGAAGAGTTGGTGAAGGAGGACAATGAAGGACTAACCACTGATGAGCTGCTAGATCATCTTCAACAGGAAGAGGCCACACCTGAGGAAACTGCTTCGGAGGAGGGGATAGAGAAATTGAAGTAGTTGCCTACTTCAAAGATTAAGGAAATGTGTGCAATGTGGCTTAAAGTGCAAACCTTTTTTGATGAAAATCACCCTACCACAGCTATTGCAAGCCGTGCTGGTGACTATTACACTGACAATGTTGTGAAACACTTTAGGAATGTCATAAAGGAACAGGAGGTACAGGCCTCTATGGACAGATATGTTGTGCGACAGAGGTCCAGTGACTCAAGCTGGTCCTAGTGGCATTAAAAGAAGGGAAGTAACCCTAGAAAAGGACTTGCCACCTCAAGTCCTAAAGGAAGGGGATTCCCCTTCTAAACATTAACACCATCCACAGTCTCCCCTCCTCCCATCCCATCAATCACCACCAGATCCTGAATAAAGGTAAGTGTCATGTAACTGTGCATGTCTTCTTCAGTTTATGTGTATTAAAATTAATATTTCATGTAGTAAAATTTTTTTTTGTTCATACTTTGGGGTGTCAGGAACGGATTAATTTGATTTCAATTATTTCTTATGGGGAAAATTAATTTGGCTAACGATAATTTCGCCTAACGTTGAGCTCTCAGGAACGGATTAATAGCGTTAGGCGAGGGTCCACTGTACACTCTCTCATACATTCCCCTCCTTGCTTCCATGGACAAAGTTCTTTGTCTCCACAGACTCCTCACTGCACCACTTCCCTTTCTTCCCTTGTCAATTCTATGATTCACCTCATCTTTCATAAACCCATCTGCTGACAAGTCCACGTACTCATTTACTGATGACTCAGACTTACGACGGGCTCTCTGACCAGTATGCACATCTCAATAATGTATATTAGAGCTGACTGTCTCTACTCTGTTTATTACAATATATAGTACACTATTTTGTAAAAAATTTTTTTTTAAATACTAAAAATGTTATAAATGGGGCAAAGGTGACATTAAAACAATATCGAAGATGGTCGACACATACCCACTACCATTATAACATGAGACGAATTCGTTTACCAACGTGGTCTTAGG